CTTGTTTGCATCCTCTCTAAGACCTCATCGTTGCTCACACGCTCAGTCCATGATATCCTTAGGATCCTTCTGTAGAACCACATCTCCGTCGCCTGTAGTCTCTTCTTGGTCGTCTAACATTCGCTGTCGTGAAGAAGGACAGATATCACGTAACAGCTCAGTATTCTTTTCTTCGTTATCAAAGAAATCCCTAGGGGTGTCTTAAAATGCATATCTAGGCATTGAAAAAATATTGTAATATGCGATATTTTTCATAATTGTTATTTCTTTTTTCTTTTTTTCCAGAACTTAGATTAACATAGGAAGATTATTTCTGGAAAAATCCCAACCGAACAAAGAAACAAAATATTGAAATTTTATTTTGGATTTAATCAAACTTTTATTTACGTCATAATTTCGCGAAATTCTGAAATTTTATGACCACAACTTTGTCTTGATCTGATGCCACCCGATCATTTTATTTGGGGTTACTTTAACGGGGGTTTATGCATAAAAAAAACAAAACCGAAGACAGTTCAGTAACTCAGAATTATTATGCACTGCAATGGAGAAAGCTCAGTAAAAAACAAAAAAACAAAAAAAAACCGGTAAATTCAGAAAGACGTTTGACAATCGTTGGAAACTGATGACGACTGATGTGACTGAAAGATTCGGGAAGAATTTCTGCTCATTTTCTGCACCACGTCCGATATTCTTCTTTGAAAAGTACGATAACTTGATGCTAAAAAAAACAGCGAGTCGTTTAGCCATATAAAAATGGCAGAAAAAAAAAACGAAAGTTGTCTGCAAATAACCTTCAAATGGCGAGTCACAAGATCGAGAAACAATCAACCAATTATAAAAGAATCAACGCAAGATTCAAATGATTATTCAAGGTCATGAATATTCTAGATATTTATTCAATGTTATTCAAGGTCAATCATTCCTGAAAGATAAAACAGCGATAATAAATTTACACTATTTACATTATGCCTCAAGGACACATGGCACAGTGGATAAAGGCCTTAGTTAGACCCAGTGACAGGAGCCAAAGAGTGTGAGTTCAATATCCGGTTAAGGCAGTGGAGAACTTTCAGAGGGAAATTAGCATGAGATAACTGATAACTGACATCCATCAAACATGGCACGTGGAACTAGAACAGTCTACACCAGTGAGCGAAATAAAGGGTTCAGTTCGACATTCCAACCACCTGAAGAAGGCCGGGTCGTTGTAATAAATACGGCCGAAGCGTTGTAATAAATATGGCGACAAAGATGAGGACAATAGTCCAAGCAATGTAAATAGTGTACATAATACCTCATCTTTAAATTTAGACAGTCATTATTATTATTACATTAGTTGTTCTGACCAATGATTTCACATTTTGGGATTGCTTTTGCTGTTACCATAAAGTCTGTGCCGATGTGTTCTTCAGCCTTCCCCAGGTGTATAATTTGAAACGAGGCAGTCACTTTTCATTACAGTAGTTGTTCGCACGATTCGTATATTATTTTTTGTTCTTCTTGTTACATAACGTTTCGACCGATCTATTCACCGAGCATTCTCAGATGAAAGAAGGATATCATTATCGTTACAGTAGTTGCTGAGGCAATTCTTTGTTGCTTTTTCTGTTACCATAAAGTTTCAACAGATCGATTCCTCATTCTACACGCGGTAAGAGATTATTATCATTAGAGAAGTTGTTCAGACGATCGATAAATTCGTTTTAATTTAATATTTTTATTTTTTTGCTATTAACATGACATTTCGATCGATCCATTCTTCGACCCTCCTCAGGTGAGCAGGTATAAGAACGTAATTATCATTACGATGGATGCTTTTATTGTTAATGCAAACTTTCGGCCGATAATTTCTTCGACCGTTCTCAGATATACGATACTTATAGAATGTAGCGAGCCGTATGTTGGTTCTTTCTCAAATGGTGTAAATAGTGTCTCATCTCAGAAATATAAACAGGTACTGATTATAAATTTGTCGCTTTTTTTTTCTTTTACTGGGAACCATCTAGAAAGAGCGCGTCTGTATGGTGTAGTGAAAGGAAGATATTGATGTATAAATTTTTTTATAATTAAATAGGAATACATTTCCAGTCCCTAAATTTTGAGCCTGTATAAAACTATTATTATTATATTAGTATTGTTGTGGTAGGATCCACCTAATTTGCATAGTGGAGTACCGACCATATAAATATGGTTGGTACCGGGAAGAGAGGGAGGAATCAAGAGATTAAACCAGAGACTCTGCCCGGCTGCGACTCAGTCAACGCATTCTCCAGGAACAGTCTTACCAGGAATATACAAAAGACTATATTTAAATATTGTGTACACGTTCTTGTTTCAATACATTTTGTTCTAAGTACATTTTGTGTTGCATTATTATTCCATGCATTAGTCAAGTTTCAACAAGTATAAAACTGTTATTATAAAAAAATAGAGTTGAAATTTGCTAGATTTTTAAACACCGAGACGACTTCTGGAACACCTTTAAAAAAAAAAAGAATTTGTTTTTCTTTCTGAAAAAAAAAAACTTTTGGTAATATAAGCATGGAACAACATCCTCAAAAACAGAAAGAACAATAATAAAAAACAAAAAAACAAAAAAAAAACATCCTTTATTTCATGGTGAAATGATTTCGAGTTATGCGTATTTTTTTCCGGCGAGATGTAGCAAACGTTTAGGCACCTTGACAGATGAACCGAGTTTATTAACCGATTCTAAATGTTTACGTCAAACCACTCATCAGGGTCAGATGTTCGCTAAATCTATTGAATCATTACCAGACATCATACTAAAACTCCTCCAAAAAGACGACAATTATAGATTTGAAATTTCATATTTGAAATACCTCTCACGTTAAAGCCGGTTAAGTACGGAACAATATCTTTTAAGAAGAAGCTATTTAATTATTAATTTATTGAATATTGTCGCTCTGGTTGTCTGTTGAGCACACTTGTGACAGAAAGTCTACTGACAATTTAACAAATTTAGCAATGTCCACTCTATGTATGTATGTATGTATATATAAAAGTTTAATTAAAAACGACTAAAAATGTTTATTTAATTTTTATGGTCTTCTTATAATTTTGTAATTTTAAATTTAAAATTAAATAAAAAAATTAACCATAGTACTTTATCAGTAGTTTTTAATGAAACGTCTATAAAGAGGATTGCTGCAAAATACACAATTATATATATATATATATATATATATATATATATATATATGATTATGTATTTTATATATACACACACACGCACACACACACATAAATATATATATATATATATATATATATATATATATATATATATATGAATAAAGATAAAATACTAATTATCTTGAGGCGTTTTATTTTATAAATAGAAGTAAAAATATAACGCTCATGAATATAGTTCAAGCTAACCGAAAGGTAGACTATGGAAGATGCTAAGTGATGTAAATTAATGCCTAATAAACGAAAGTGAGTAAATATTGTCATTGTTGTTGATGTTTTTACAATGTAATTAATATTATTAACATCATTTTCGTTTGAGATTAATCTATATATTATATATTTTAAATAATTCAATGTTATGACTGTAACCGTTTTCTTTTAATTCAAAAAAGTATAGCTATATATGTTGGCTTGAGAAAGGAGTATTTCTTTTAGAAAAGGAGATATTTTAAAAATATTTTAAATCGGCGCTCTCAAAAATCAAGTTACTTTCTCTTTTAATAAGTGTTATATATATATATATATATATATATATATATATATATATATATATATATATATATATATATATATTGTTGTAACCTAGAAAAAGGTTACTGAATGAAGAATAACCAAAACGGGGGTTGGAAATTAAATGGAAATCTTTATAACATCAAAAAAATGCAATACTCGCCAGCGGCGTGAAGTAGATAAACCACTGCTAGTGGTGCCCTACTTAGTCAGCATATTATCCCCACTTACTTTATGAGGATTGGGGCACACCCATTAGTGTTTATAGGTACGGTATGTAACATACATATATTCATAGGTACGGTTTATAACATACATACATACATATATATATATAAATATAAAAATTCCCTTGAGGATGAAATGGAACTAATGTCTTTAATTTAATTACAAAATTAAATTCGGGGTTTTTAGCTTCCATTTTTGAAACGTGGTTAGAACTGTGTAGCGGAAAAAAAAATATTTTAAATCAATTAATTTATATATATATATATATATATATATATGTATATATATATATATATATATATATATATATATATATATATATATATATATAGTATTTACATGCTTTTTTTACTAACACAACGTTTTGGACGTTGTGACTTTCGGCCTTCATCAGATGTATATCAATGCCAGTAAACCTACATGGTTACTTTCATAGTAAAATGATCTCGATTTAGGCGTATTTTTCTTGACAGATGAAACGAGTTTATTAACTGATTCTAAATGTTTATGGCAAACCGCTCCTCAGGGTCAGATATTCACTAAATCTATTGAATCATGAAGGGAGTCACGAACTGAATCCTTTATTGAATCTGTGGGGGGGCTGTTCTCCTTTCACTGCCAATGTCTTATTTTTAGTACCGCTCAGTTATTTTCGCCCCTTTTTCGCTGAGCTCATAATTATTATGTCAGCAAATTCAAGCGCCAACGCCTAATCCACTAGGCTCTTGTCCCGTAGGACAATTGTTTGTGGAGAACTTGGACCCTCAAACCTGCTGATGAGTGCAGCTGCTACTGCTACTACTTGTCATGCTTGACCGCATTTACTCAAGCTGTTTCTCTTGGCTTAGTGTCATTTGTTTTCTTTCTCTTCTCCCATGTCGTATTTATTTATATTTTAGGACTAATAAATTGGTCCTAAGAGATCATATATATTTTACCTTTCTTCATGGAAACTGTTTTTAGGTACGAAACTGCAATTAGCAGATATAGATTCGTAGAAGTCCCAACGACAAAAATTGTGCATTATAAAAATAAGTAATTCAAACCATACAACGCCGTCTCCATCGCCCAATTGTCAAACGTACGTTTCGGCAATGGAAACGATTCACTAGATAGAAAAATTGTGGATGCGGGTTCAATCTTTCTTTAAAAGGACTTCTCAATTTAGGCCGGATTTATTAATTTCATTGTTTAAGAAAAAAAAAAAAAACTCTTTTATAGTAAAGAAATATATACAAATACAAAACTTGTATCGTCAAGGATAATATCTATCATATTTTAAATATGTTTTTCTTGTCGGTGTTTTTATTTTTTGTATCTTGGCATTGAAGGTGAAAATACATTTGTAATATCAGGCAGAAGAGAGGATCAAATAGACAGGCTAAAGAGTGGATCAAATAGAGAGAGAGAGAGAGAGTCAAATGGAGAGGGAGAGGAGATAAATAGACAGAAAGAGAGATGGAGCGAGAGAATAAGAAAGATCAAATGAACAGACAAAAGAATGGTTCAAATAGATATAGAGAGGGAGAGAGAGAATCATATAGACAGAAAAAGTAGATCAAATAGACAGAGAGAAGGTTAAATAGACAGAGAGAGGGGATCAAATAGACAGACTAAAGATTGGATCAAATAGACAGATTAAATATTGGATCAAATAAAAAGAGAGAGAGAGAGAGAGAGAGGCGCTTAAATAGAAAGATTAAAGAGTGGATTAAATCAAATAGAGAGAGATAGGATCAAATAAAGAAGGAGAGGAGATAAAATATGCAGAAAGAGAGAGAGAGAGAGAGAGAGAGAGAGAGAGAGAGAAAAAAGTGGAAAGAGAGAGGGTCAAATAGACAAACCAAAAATGGTTCAAATAGATTGAGGAGCTCAAATAGACAGAGGAAGATTGAGATGACAAAAAAAGTGGATCAAATAGACACAGAGAAAGGATCAAATAGACAGACAGAAAGAGGGTCAAAATAGACAAACAAAAGCGTGGATCAAATAGACGAGAGAGGCGATCCAATCGACAGTGACAGTAGAAAGCACACAAACAGATTGAGGTTTAAATGGATAGGCACACAAATAAAATTACTGAATAAACAAACGAGATAATATCGTAGTATGATATTCATTTCCCCACGTGGGAAAATCGCCACATGGTCTTGTTTTAATATATGACAGGATAGTTTGTTCTGTCGGATTTGCTTTTTGGTATGACACAGGCGTTATAGAAACACCAGGAATATACAGAAGGGTAATTGTGGAAGATCTGACCCCCTTTAACTAAACATAATTTTGTGAAGGGCATACAACATAAATATTTTTTAATGTACGTTAAAGAATAAATGTGGAGAGAAAGAAAACATACAAACACACACACACACACTTATACATATATATATACACATACATAGCTGTAGTTTACTGCTACCAGCAAGCAGAAATATTTCTTTTCCCGATGATGGCCATTTTGGCCGAAACTAGTCGAGGAATCTAAATGAAATAATAAAAAAAAACGAAAGAATATTAATCTACAACCCATTGTGTCGGAAGATTTTAATTTTAATTTTTTTATTTTTTTATATATATTTTTATTATTCAAATATATATATATATATATATATATATTATATATATATATATATATGTATATATGGTATAATATATCATATATATATATATATATATATATATATATATATATATATATAATGAGTAGTGAGTTCGATCTCCATTACGAATGTGTGCCATTTTTTCGGCATTTTTTGTGTCACACCTAAACCACGCCTAGTAAATCCCTTTATATATATATATATATATATATATATATATATATATATATATATATATGTGTGTGTGTGTATGTGTCTGCGTGTGTGTGTGTGATTACGTGTGAGTTTGAATGTATGTGCGTGTTTCGCGGGTAGCAGTAGTTTTTACAAATGACAGTTATTTCCATGAAAAAAAAATCAGACGTAAAACCTTTTTAAAAACAAAGCTCTCAAAGAAAGCATACAGAGTAAAAGCGAATATAACGAAACGTAAAAAAGGTCATGAACCTTGTCCATTGAACCTCAAATAAGCCGAGTTATGGCCGCTCTTTTCCCGGTGGCTGGTTGGACCGCGGCGATTCTTCAATCGTTCGAGGAAAAAAATGTAATAAACGGAATCGCATTAAATCGACTTTGATGGCTGATCTGCGCCAGCAAATATTTGCTTATCAACTATTTGTTTTTTTTTTTTTTTTTTGTTTTTTTTTTTTTTTGTTTTCTGGTGGGGGTATCCCTCTCTTTCTGTCTCATTCTCTTATTCCACTAATATTTTCTCTGGGAATGCCTTTTTTCTCTCTCTCTTTTAAAAGAGAAAAAAAAAAGAGGGAGAGAGAAAGAGAGGGAGATGAAGAGAGAGTGGGGAGATGGCGAAACACTTGAAATATTCAGACAAAATTCCCGCTCTTTATAAGATTACGTCGCCTGGACAACTGGGACAGACCAGAGTTTGGCGCGAAAGGAAAAAAAAGTGCAATTCAAAGACAAATTTTTATTCCCAAACTTTTTTTAAATTTATTTTTTTTTCATTTGTTGATCTTATTTTGAAGACAATTTTTTAAACGTATTTTGTACTTTGTATGAATCATTTACTTTTATATTTTTTCATATTAACAAATGACAGGAATCGGCCTTCTTTCTTGGTCGTTCTGGGTTTAGATTCTGTTGTTATTAATTTCCTTGACTTTTGCTTGTCTTTATTCCTTTATTTTATTTCTTTTCTCTGGTAGACGTGTTTTCTTTTCTTATCCTTTCTTTTTCTTTCTTTCTTTTTTTCTTACTTGCTGGAAAGGCATTATCATTTCTTTGTTATTTTTGTCCTGTTTTCTTTTTATCTGCGGTTGCATCGCACTTTCTTTCTTTCTTTCTTTCTTTCTTTCTTTCTTTCTTTCTTTCTATGAAAGCATTATTCTTTCCTTTCCTTTCTCTCTTTCTTTATATGAAAGCATTATTCGTTGTTTCTTTCTCTCTATGGAAAAATTATTCTTCATTTTGTCAAAGCATCTTTCTTTCTTTCTTTCTTTTCATTTATTCTTACTTTTACTTTCCCTCCTCCGCTCCCCGTTTCTTTTTTTTGTTTGTTTGTTTCTTTGTTTGTTAGTTAATTTGTTCGTTTCCTTTCTTTTTTGATATATTACTCCTATCCGCTTTCTTTCTTTCTTTCTTTCTTTCTTTCTTGTCTTTTTCTTTTTCTTTCTGATGTTCTTTCCTCTCATGGATTATTATTTCTTTCTTTCCTTAATTCTCAATCACTATATGGCATCTTTCTTTCTTTCTTTCTTTCTTTCTTTCTTTCTTTCTTTCTTTCTTAATTCCTACCACTCCTTCTATTATTATGTATCTTTCTTTCTTTCATTCATTCATTCCTTCATTCATTCATTCATTTATTCTTTCTTTCTTTCTTTCTTTCTTTCTTTCTTTCTTTCTTTCTTTCTTTCTTTCTTTCTTTCTTTGTTCCTACCACTCCTTCTATTATTATGTATCTTTCTTTCTTTGTAGTTCCTTCCATTATTGTATCTTTCTTTCTTTCTTTCTTTCTTTCTTTCTATGGAAGCAATATTCATTCTTTCTCCTTTTCATTCTTACTTTATTTATTTCTTTGGAAGCGTGATTATTTCATTCTTTCTATGGTAGCAGTATTCTTTCTTTCATTCTTTCTTTCTCTCTTTCTATGAAATAATTATTCTTTCTTTCTATGGATACATTATTTATCTGGAAGCAGTATTCTTTCTTTCTTTCTTTCTTTTGTACATACATTATCCACCTTTCTTTCTTTCTTTCTTTCTTTCTTTCTTTCTATGGCAGCATTATTCTTTCAATCTATGGAAGCCTTATTCTTCATTTTATGGAAGCATTATTCTTTCGTTCTTTCTTTATTTCTTCCTTTCTATTGAAGAAGTATTCGTTGTTTATCTTTTTCTTTCTTTCATTGGAAGTATTAATCTTTCTTTCTATGGTAGCATTATACTTTCTTTCTCTCTCTCTCTCTTGAGGTAGTTTTCTTCATTCTATGGAAGCATTATTCTATCTATCTTTCTTTTTTACTATTTTCCTTTTACAGATACATTGTATCTGAAAATTTTTACATATATATGCAGGTTGCAATGTATAAATTGTCCTCTAATTTACGCAAAAATGAAAATAACACTGACATATTTTACAGATATATTTACCAAAATCACACAAAAATATCTTGAAATACTAAAGAGTATATTTATTCAATAAAATCGCCATTGGCTTCAATCACGGCCTCCAGACAACTTTGGAATCTCTTGAAACTCTTCTGGACAGTCTCCTTGTTTAAGTTGCTGAATACTGATATAATCCTTGTCTTCAGTTCATCTTCGATGTTACAAGGAGTTTTGTTGGTCTCTCGCTGAACTGCGCCCCACACATAATAATCAAGGGGTTTGCATTCTGGGGAGTTAGCTGGCTAGATGTAAAGGGTGATGTGGTTGCAGAAATTGTCCGACAGCCATGACTAGTTTCGCCTACTTGTGTAGAATGGTGCAGAATCCTGTTGCCAGATATAGGGTTTTCCAGCAGTCACCCTCTTGACCAAGGGCAGCACTATCTCTGCAAGGCACTTGATGTAGGCCTCCATTGGACTCACGATTTAGTCTCCAGAATTCTGGACAACTTAAGCTCAATGACAAGCTCCATTATCATGCTAGAATAACGCAAGTTGTGGCAGAGAGAGTCATTGAATTTGGCACAAATGAACACGAAAAATTGCAATCTAACGATATACCCTTAGCAAAGAAACAGCTCCCAACCCACCCAACGCGAACTCACCCAAGGCCATTTTGGAACTATCACCAGCCAGCACGATGCCTTGTAGGGTCGATGACCATAACGAAATCTTACCATCATCCCGAAATATCTGAAACTGTGACTTACCGAACCACGTCACACGATGCCATTCTTGCAAAGTCCAATTAGCGACATTACATCTATATGTGAAACCCTGTGTCCAATGTATTAGCATATTTGTACATATAAATCTTGCATTGAATGCGGATGCAATTTGAGATAGTCACGCTTGTCTAGGAGCTTACGCACACAATTCTAGTCAAAAGCGCTGTTCACGATGGGAGATAATAATTTAAATTTGAAAAAGTCAAAATAATAATAATAATAATAATAATAATAATAATAATAATAATGGTCACGGGATCTAAAAAAAATGCACATACACAAAACAAGTTTCTTTGAACGTTTTTTCCACCAAAAAGTTCGACTTTATTTTATTTTTCTTTGTGATAAAAAAACAAGTGTGTCCAAAACTTATCATTTTTAAGATTTTTCTCATCATGCTTGTCTAATGGCATAATAATATGAAATTATTATTATTATTTTCTTTGATTTCTGGCGTTTACACATTTCTTTCCGGGTCCCGCGCAGGGACCTAAGGTTAGAAATGGCATCATGACACTTTCCACTGACAAAAAAAAAAAAAAAAAAAAGATTACATAGATAAAGCCCTTCGTAAGGTGTGGGCTGTCAGAACAATTTTCTGTATCTCCTTGAGGCATGGACTTCCAGGAATCCCTTCAATTAGTCTACTGGAATCTTTTCCAACCAGTCCTAGGGCTCCAACTACAACAGGGATTGTTGATGTTCCCATATGCCACATTTTCGCGATTTCTATTTCAAGGTCCTTGTACTTTGACAACTTTTTGAATATCTTCAAAGATACATTGCAGTCAGCAGGGACTGCCATATCAATAAGGAGGCATCGCTTTTGTTTGTGGTCTTTAATAACAAATATCTGGGCGGTTGGCCTTGATTGTTCTGTCAGTGTGTATTGTGTAGTCCCATAGAATTGTAAAAGGTCCTATCTCCGTAACTGGGTCTGGGTGGTGTTCATACCAGTTTCTTTCAGTTTTCTTCCCGTAATTTCCTTGTATTTAAAAAAATGAATCACTACCATTTTCATCTATTTGCATTCACTATGTTATTTAATTGTTCTTTTATTTGTCTTATTTATTTATTATTTACCTATTTACAAGTTCCTATATATACACATATCCTTCCGGGTCCCAACGAGATACCTAAGGTCAGAAATGGATCTATGACCTTTTCCACTGATACTTTTTTACCCCCCACCCCACCCAAAAAAAACTAAAGTTACATACATTTTACATACATAAAGCTCGTAGTGTGAGTTGTACTTGTGAGGACAATTTTTTGTATTTCTTTAAGGCATATATATATATATATATATATATATATATATATATATAAATGCTTTTAATAGTTTTTACTTTTCTTTCTAACTTATTGTACAACTATTGTTAATCTTAGACGATAACGCATTTAACATTTTGTTATTACATTAACTTATCACTACCATTTTCATCTATTTCAATTCATTATTTTATTTAATTGTTTTTTTTATTTGTCTTATTTATGTATTATTTGCCTATTTACAAGTTCATATATATATATATATATATATATATATATATATATATATATATATATATATATATATATATATATATATATATATATATATATTATATTTCATTTTATTTTATCATATCTCACTTTATTCCGGCATATTTTATTATTACTGATATCACTACTTTTAGGTTTTTTTTTACGAATATTAATATTAATAATATTATTATTAATTACATTATTGATTCAGGAAAAATAGAGTTACCACCCCTTGATTTTATAACACCACTTCTAGTTGTGAAACCACTGTCTCTCTAAATTGGAATTCATCTTTCTTATTTCTAATCTTATTTTCCATCTTAAATGTTGACCCGGGCCAAACTTCAAATTCAAAACCAACTACAATTCATTAAACATTTTAACGTGTTTATTTACATATTCATATGTTCCTATACAAGGCTCTTAATTCATTTTACTTTATTTTTCTTATTTTAGTTTAAATCATTTCCTTTCTATTGATATATATTACTATCATTAGTAATAGTAGTAGAGTATTTTATTTTGTTTTAATCTATATTATATTATTTTATTTTATTTTATCATGACATACTTTGTTCTTGATATCATTATTTTTAATTATTTTAGTAATCTTATTATCAATTACTCTCTTGACTTTTGGGGAAAAATAATGTTGCACCTCTTGATTTGCCAACGTCTCTTTTTTGTATACTTAAGTTTTCAAAACCAGCGTCTCTCTAATTTAAAATTTATATTTCTTATTTCCAGCCTTATTTTCAATCTTAAATGTTAATGTGAGCTTAATTCAAATTCAAAATTAAACTACAATTCAATTAAATAATTTAACTACAATAATATTCCACCGCAAAAGTAATATATCTCAGGTGTCAATCCAAAATTGAAATAAAAATAAATATATTTCTAGCACTGTAAAATTGCTTCGGCATGAAACTCGGAGTTGTGAATTAATGTAAGATATTATATACATTTCTTAACACACACACACACACACATACACACACACATATATATATATATATATACAATAAACTTATTTGTAAACGTAGGTAAACGTTTCTTCACTATTTCAATAAGTCTATTGGAACTTTTTCCAATCATTCCAAGGGCTCCAACTACAACTGATATTATTGATGAGCCACATTATTTAGATTTCAACTTTTATCGTTCTGCTATTCCTACATTCAGTAAAACACATACCTGGAATCTATCTATCTATCTATCTATCTATCTATCTATCTATCTATCTATCTATCTATCTATCTATCTGAGGTCTGCTCAAGCCTGCCTGTGTATGTATCTATCACGTTCTGTTCATTATCTATCTATCTATCTATCTATCTATCTATCTATCTATCTATCTATCTAATGTCTGCTCAAGCCTGCCTATCACGTTCTGTTCATTATCTATCTATCTATCTATCTATCTATCTATCTATCTATCTATCTATCTATCTATCTATCTCACGGTAAATTTACGCCAAAATCTCGGTGTTATAACCCGCCAGAATACAACACAAAAACATACACACACACGCACACAAAATATATATATATATATATATATATATATATATATATATATATATATATATATATATAATTCCTAAAAAAAATCACACATACACATAGGTGCATACATGCATACACAAAACGCATGAACTTGCAACATTCACATATATAGACACACTTTTTTCTACCTCTTTTCTAGCCTCCTCGCACTGAATCGTTTTTTTTCCCTATCCAGTGAGAAACCATTTTGTCTGTGACGATTAATAAACACCATTTAATAAGCAATAGCAGAACATATCTTGTATCTGGGCAGCGGGTAACAAGAAATCGAAGCGGACGTTTATTCGTTCTTGATGTCATGGCCCTTGATGTCCCTGCCCTTACACCACTAATATTAAACCCCTGAAAATGAGCATTATTTCGATATACGGGACCCGAAATGCTCATAAAGCAGTAGCTGAGTACGCAGGACTTAACAATAGATTTGGCATGAAACGTTAACATACGTTCTAAATATGCGTAATATATATATATATATATATATATATATATATATATATATATATATATATATATATATATATATATATATATAAAATCCCAAATCACCTCATATAGGGTATAGCCAAATTCACATTTTCCATGATATAGGTTTAACTTAATTACCTACTATATTTCCATAATATTCACCCCCCCACCAAATCTTCAAATGTCGAAAATAGAACCAATTCTAATTTCTGTTTTCCGACCTCTGTGCCTCTTTACACTATATTTATAATTTATAAACTTTCCCCTACTCTAAGCTCTCCCCAACACTTTTTTTTCCATTAACCCGTTACATCCTTTTATCTATATATTTTAAAGTTATTTTTAACCCCCTTTTTTATTCATCTTTTAATTTTATATTAATATATCATTCTTCATATAGCCTCAAATTAATGTCATAAGGTTAATATTCGGGTTTATTTTTATAAAACTTCTTCCGTTTAAGGCAAGCATCTTCCACCCTTCCATGACCCTTTCTTGTGCCTCTCGCCTGACTGAAACATTGAAATGAATAAATTCTGTATTAGTTTATCGATTTTTTTTTTATAGCTTTCACAGTTAAATTTTTATTTCTGGCATGAACTCAGTCCACGCCGGGGTTGATGAGGCAGAGTATCAGTTTTTCGTCTGCCGAAATAGACCTTCCCCATATGAGGTGATTTTGGATTTTATTGTTTATTAATTTTTTGCTCTGTAGTAATAAATACATTGAGCTCTTTTTGTGGGTCAGTTTTAATATTTTATATTACTAGGATCCATTTGGATTATATACCAAAGTATTTGTTGGTTATATATATATATATATATATATATATATATATATATATATATATATATATATATAAAAACACATAATCTTCTATGATTTTTATTGATCGATAAATTTCTTTCATGAAACGTATCATAATGTAAACAATAACAACGTATAATGAAAAGGGTTAAGTTCAACAATTATTTAATATAATTTCAATAATCCATTTCATTATATGTTGTCATTTTTCACGTTAAGATACGTTTCGGAAACAGAAATGATCGGTCGAGAAAAATCGTCGAAGATTGTGTTTATAAACAGTAATTCGGACTTTGCTAACCAAACGCTTCTCTGTAGCTGAATAGTACAGGCACGTCTGATTATATATATATATATATATATATATATATATATATATATATATATCTTCAACTTCCTGACTCCAGAGTTTCTTAGACGGCTCCTCCGGGAATTACTGCGTCCACTCGTCAGGGGTATCAACTATTGACTGCTTATACTTATTGATTTTTCTTTTTAATATGCACTTTTCATTGATCCTATTTTTTTCATAGTGTATGTACGTGTGTGTGAGCGTGTGTGTGTGAGTTCGCGCACCTGTTCCCATGCGCCTTTCACCATGTTTTGATTATTTGTACATATCAACAATATATATATATATATATATATATATATATATATATATATATATATATATATAGATAGATACACCTAGTGAGCCAGACAAACCTACCTAGGTTTCACCTAAACGGATCGTCAGGGAAAGTTTGACTAACGAGGCAAAGAGCTATTAAACTCTAAAACTGAAATTCTCAATGTATGTAGACATAAAAAATCTTGGCTACTAAATTAGACGTTTTCCCGTTATTGACTTTCCACTGAGGATTTTTTTTTTTTGTTGAATAAATATTTATCCCCCCCACTTAGGTTGTTTGTTTTTTTTTTTTTTTTGTCACGTGGTATGATTTTAGCTATCACCTATAAATATGTGTTTCTCTTTGCCACGTTAGCCAAACTTTCCCTGACGATCCGTTTAGGTGAAACCTAGGTAGGTTTGTCTGGCTCACTAGGTGTATCTAGGTCTGCTCTACGGTTGTATTGAGCTCTTTTGTTAGTTAGTTGTTACTCGTATCGGGGTTTTTTCTTTGGGCTTCAGACCTGCATCTGTGCGATTTTTTTGTCGGCAGAAGTTTATGTTTGTAGCTCTTTCTTTTTAAAAACCTTTTTTCCTCGAGATTGATTTGATTATTAGCAAATCAAAAATTCGAGGGTTTTCGAAACGAGTCTAGTTATATATATATATATATATATATATATATATATATATATATATATATATATATATATATTGGTTTGAAAACAATAGTGTCTAAGTGTTAATTTTTGAAAATCATTTCACCTCAAGCAAGGAGGTGATACCACAATTGTGTAAGGTATTACTGGGATGGAAAAAGAATGAGAAAACGTTTGCAAGGAAAAAGGACAATAAATAAATAGAAATCAGGTAGATAGAAGATGGTGATTGGCGTTGCATTTAATGTTTTGAAGATTCTAGGTATCAAGAAGCCAAAATAGTGTTCCACAGGTGAGACGTGCGAGAAGGGGAACTATGAGAATAGAACATACGGTTGCATTTAGCTAGTTCATCAGTGAAACAGTAAAACCTATGAATAACATAGAAATTTATTTGTTGGTCAGTCTTTGAAAATTGTTCTTGGAAGGTTAATAAATTCGCTGTCTATCTATCTATATCCACCTATCTACTTATCAAAATTTGTTCATATATCTCTATAAGGGATCGTAGATTTTGATATTTCCTATAGCTAGTAGCAAAGTTCCCTCTTTATTTGCGATAAATAAATAATCTTAGCAATTCTCCCATTTTTGTTATGACATTTCTCCGAAACAATCAAATCATACAGAAATTTTCTCCTGCTCAACAAACTAATGACGGCTGATTAAAAAAAAAAAAAAGCGCCGGACGATGGTATTTGCCGGACCACAGAGTGTTGGATTAAAGAGGTCGGACTGTACGATTTTCATCATTCGATCATTATCATTATTGTGAATTCCATACATACTGTTTGCCTTATATTTTGGTCTTGTGCTGTACTAAAGCAATCTTAGTTGCTCTCCTGTGTTTTTTTTATAAACACTCTCATGGTAATTGTTCGGATGAGCTCTTTGCTATGTTAGGTAGACTTTATAGACTGGCAGATCTTATCGATATACAGTTGATCTGGCGAGATGTAACCCCATGTTCTGTTCTAACAATTACTTTTCTCGCACTTCTCGTTTGTGGAACACTCTTTCGGTTCCATGCTTTCCAATCAACTTTAATCTTCAAAAGATTAAATGCAATGTTAATCGTTATCTACTGTCCTCTAGATTAATTTTCTTTCTTTTTTTTCTCGCTCCTTAGATGTGTTTCGCTTTTCTAATTCTTTCCCAGCCAGTAACCACTTGTGTCTTAGTGGCTTTACTTTCTTGGTTTGGAATGAACTTGAATAAAAAAAAGAAAAGTGAAAAAAAGTATATCAGGCGTCTCAACGTGGTGTTATGATTAACAATCAAGCCTAACATGGGCCATTAGTATTGTGAGAAGTCTGAATTTCAGATTAGGCTCGTAGATAAGGTGAAAAAAAAGTGTTTGTATTTGATAGGCTATTCGACAACCATATTTTAGAAATGGCGACCAAAGTAAAATTGGCGTTACTAGTATCGTTTCTACCGGAGGGGCACATCTGATTTGGAGGCAGCTGATAATGGCAGCGTGGGAAGAGGGCTTTGAAGATAAATGCAAACGAATAGTTAAAAGAAGAAGGTAGCAAACAAGGAAATATATATATATATATATATATATATATATATATATATATATATATATATATATACTTTTTTATCTTCCTTGTTTGCTACCTTCTCCTTTTTTTTTTTTTTCTTCTCTCTCATATATATATATATATATATATATATATATATATATATTATAAATTAATTGATTTAAAATGTTTTTTTTTCGCTACACAGTTCTAACCATGTTTCAAAAATGGAAGCTAAAAGCCCCGAATTTAATTTTGTGATTAAATTAAAGTCATTAGTTCCATTTCATCCTCAAGCGAATTTTGGAGTAACTTTTAAAATTACTGGGTTTTAAATACACAGCTAAAATCATAATTCATGTTTCCAAGGTTACAGATAAATCTATTTTTCTAGACAGGAGTGTCTAGGTGTTCAATATGTCTATATTTTAATGTATCAGTTATTGTTACTTTTGGTAGTGGGTAGGGATGTCTAGAAAAATTGATTTATCTGTAACCTTGGAAACATGAATTTTGTTTTAGCTTCTAGCCGGGTCTCGATTTTCGACAAGCAAAAATGACTTCCGCTTCACTGGGTCAACTGCTGATGTGTTTATGGTTATTGCTGAAATAGTGTATCAAACTTTAGATAAGAATGAAACTAATGTTTCTCTTTTTTTTTATTCTTTTACAATTGTGACTTAGTGACTTTGCGGCCTTGCTTGGGATGAAATAATTAAAATAAAGAAAGAAAATCTACTAAAAAAAGTCGATGGAGAAGAAACAGAAAAGGGAGATTGTCGATACGGAAGTGAGGAAATAAAAATAACTAGCTAATTAAAAAGAATTAAAGTGAAGAAGAAACATGTCAACAAAGAAGAAAAAAAAGCTCGTCATAGAGACGTTAACATAAATTAAAGGAATGTGCTGTTCACCTATCGCCGAATCACACTCCTTCCTTTTTTAACAGGATTAGAGGTTTATTCCTTGTTTCCTGTTTAGGATTGTGTTTCCGGTTCCTTCTAACGTTTCTTTCACTCCAAGTAACCGTTTGTGTCTTACTGGCATTATCGCCTTGCTTGGGGTGAAAAAAAAAAAAAAAAGAAAAGTTTAACGGAAGAAGAAGCAAGACCATCTTTTGTTTTTAGATGTGAGATACTTTAAGAAATGGTAAAAATATAAAACCAGAGCGATTCCTCTGTCTCTTTAGGGTGGGCTTTCACCCGTTTTACGAAAACTGACTCTTGTTCAGAATGTTATGGATGCAAAGGTGGTAGTTTTCCGTACTATCTATCTATGCCAGTCATTCACTGCATTCAGTCATCACACGACTGGCCCAACTGATTAAAGACAGTTTCCTAGTTAGGGGAAGCGGTGATGATAGCGATATGATATGAAACAGAATGTGGGCGACTTGACAACTTGGATATTATTATGATGGATTAGTCACGGGATAAATATCTTCTCTTTTTTTTATCTCTTAAGAAGGCCTTCTTTTCTTTTCTTTTTCTTTTTTAAGAAACGGGCGTTGTATATTAGAAGTAGGTATTTCGTAAATTGTTTTTTTTTCTCGAGATTATTGGTAGTTAAGGAGAATTTTTTTTTTGTCAATAAGCATGAGGAGGTTGGTTTATTTGTTTAGTTGAAATCAGACGAACTTAGCTGTCTTATTATGGAAGAAAGCAAGTTATCTTCATCATTTTCTCTTCCAAAGGTTTTATTATTATTTTTTTAACGTCCCTCGTCTTCTTCCGCCATATTTTTTTGGTTTGTTTTAAATAAAGATAAGTATTCCGAAAGTTGTTCGGACGAGTGATATTTCTTTTTCTTGCCTTAATTGTTACCACGAAGTTTATGCCGATCAAGTCTTTGGCATTTCTAAGGTGTGCCAAACGAAATAGGAGGTCACTCGTTGTTCAGACGCTTGATATATTCTTTTCATTGTTTTTTCTCGATAGTGTAGAATTGGAATAAGACTGTCATTGTTCTTGTGTTAGTTCACTCAGTTATGTGCCATGCATGATACACGCTTAGGCGATCAGGTATCTTTCGATACATGACTGACGAGGCAGGTTTTTTTTTTCACGCAGTAGGTTCCCATTTTTTTGCGGTTAACCAGTTACCATGTAAAGCAACTGGTCTGTCCAGCTATTTACCCATAGCTGTAGGGAGAAGAAGAGGATTAATACCTTTCCTAAGGGTATTAGCACGTAAGTGAATGTAATGGATTCGACTGGAATTCGAATTCGGCTCTCCGATTCCTCAATCCGAGCCCCTATTCATTACAGCGTTAGTTACTGAAACCGTTCTTTTTATTGCTTTTCTTATTTTAACGTTTCGACAGATCCATTCTTCGGCCTTCTGCGTGTATACAAGTGAAAGAAAGCGGTCATTATTATTTACACTATTTACATTATTCGGACTATTGTCCTCATATTTGTCACCATATTCATTACAATGTTTCGGCCGTTGTACGCTCCGGCATTCTTCAGGTGGTTGGAATGTCGAACTGAACTCTTTTTTTTTCGCTCACTAGGGTAGACTGTTCTAGTTTCACGTGCCATGTCTAATTGATAACTGACATCCATTAGACATGGCACGTGGAACTAGAACAATCTACCCCAGTGAGCGAAATAAAGCGTTCTGTTCGACATTCCTACCACCTGAAGAAGGCCGGAGCGTACAACGACCGAAACGTTGTAATAAATATGGCCACAAAGATGAAGACAATAGTCCAAGCAATGTAAATAGTGTACATAATACCTCATCTCAGAAATATAAACAGTCATTATTATTATTATTACATTAGTTGTTGTGACCAATGATTTCCCATTTTGGGATTGCTTTTGCTGTTACCATAAAGTCTGCGCCGATGTGTTCTTCAGCCTTCCCCAGGTGTATAATTTGAAACGAGGCAGTCACTTTTCATTACAGTAGTTCGCACGATTCATATATTATTTTTGTTCTTCTTGTTATCATAACATTTCGACCGATCTATTCACCGAACATTCTCAGATAGAAGAAGGATATCATTATCGTTACAGTAGTTGCTGAGGCAATTCTTTGTTGCTTTTTCTGTTACCATAAAGTTTCAACAGATCGATTCCTCATTCTACACGCGGTAAAAGATTATTATCATTAGAGAAGTTGTTCAGACGATCGATAACTTCGTTTTAATTTATTATTTTTATTTTTTGCTATTAACATGACATTTCGATCGATCCATTCTTCGACCATCCTCAGGTGAGCAGGTATAAGAACGTAATTATCATTACGATGGATGCTTTTATTGTTAATGCAAATTTTCGGCCGATAATTTCTTCGACCGTTCTCAGATATACGATTCTTATAGAATGTAGCGAGCCGTATGTTGTCTTTTCCTCAAATGGTGTCGATATATATTTATCATCCGATAAAAACATAAGGTGTTACATGGTATCTGTCCATATTTATGATATGAAGTATTATGTACACTATTTACATTATTCGGACTATTGTCCTCATCTTTGTCGCCATGTTCATAACAACGTTTCGGCCGTTGTACGCTCGGACAGGCGGTTGGAATGTCGAACTGAACCCTTTATTTCGCTCGCTGGGGTAGACTGTTCTAGTTCCACGTCCTCAAGGACACATGGCACAGTGGATAAAGGCATTAGTTAGATCCAGTGACAGGACCCAAAGAGTGTGAGTTACCTGGCTAAGGCGGTAGAGAAATTGGAGAGTTGACATTAGTTAGACATGGCACATGGAACAATCTACCCCAGCGAGCGAAATAAAGGGTTGCAGCTCGACATTCCAACCACCTGAAGAAGGCCGGAGCGTACAACGGCCGAAACGTGATAAATATGGCAACAAAGATGAGGACAATAGTCCGAATAATGTAAATAGTATACATAATACCTCATCTCAGAAATATAGACAGATACAAAATCGCATTACTTATCTCCTGTTAATTCCCCTCTCCAAGTTCTCCACCGCCTTAACCAGGTATTGAACTCAAACTCTTTGGGTCCTGTCACTGAATCTAACTAAGGCCTTTATCCACTGTGCCATGGTCTATTTTTGTTTTCGTACAGGGTTATCCGTATATTCCCCATGATACGGCATATTAATCATGGTTGCATTTTATGATAACTCATGAAAGAATTAAAAAAATACAAATAGATAAAAAAATGAAAATAATATTCTGATCCCTTGAACCTAGCAGCCTTGGCAGAATGTAAAGATGGTGTCGTCTATAAATCCCATCCATGAAATATGTTCTTAGCTTGTTTTTTTGTGTACAGAAAATGCAAGTTTCAACTGGTTTCCACCAAGACTATCTATCGGAAAAACTATGCCTAAAAGAGTAGCATATGATAGTAAACATAACACTCAGACCATTCCATTATTCCAAATTCCGAAAAACTAGTAGATTCCATATTTTAATGATAATATTGCTTTACAGTCATTGCTTTGATAAGCCAAGAAAGCTAAACTTCTCGATAAAGCATACTGGCTTATCATGTTTATATATTCGCAAGGCTCGTATACACGTTTTTTTTTTAAATTTTATTTCTTACATGTCAGGCTATCTATATGTGATTTAGTTCTTATTCTTGTGGATGTGGTTTAACCAACTCTACTTGTAGAAATAATAATGGTAATAGTGGGAACAACCGTTTCCATACAAGAAACATTGGCATTCATTGACGGAAAAGTTAGCGGAAATTATAGAAAAAAATATTTTAAAACGCTTTTTATTTTTTTAGGGAAGATAGACTCGTCAAACCCACTAACTGTTATAGCTCTTTCCAGTATTGATGGGAGGATTCCTTCGTACACTTTTGCTTAGTGTAATATGGAAAGTTAGTGTCTTGATTATATCTTTATTATTTATCGTCTTAAATGTGCTATTTATTTTGGTTTTTCTTTGTTTCTGTAAAGTCAAGGTCTGATGGACGATTGTTTTCTGTAAGACACCAGGGGATTTATCCGCTAGCATAAGAGATATTTCTGCTAGAAGGGAATGGAATGTTGTGTGAAGAAAAAAAAATCAGCAAAAGAGATGATCATTAGTCCAAAGAATTCATGGAATCATAAAGATTCATGTAAAAATTATAGAATGGTATCTTCCAACATTTGAGGAAAGAAAAAGAAAGGTTAATCAAAATAATGAGACAAAATGAAACGAAACACAAAAAACAAAATATGAACAACTCTTAAAATGATATATATATATATATATATATATATATATATATATATATATATATATATATATATATAATTTATCATATCTATATATAATATATCTATCGATCTATATATAATATATTTATATATAATATCTCTCTCTCTCTCTCTATATATATATATAATATCTATATCTATCTACATATATACAGTGACACGCATAAGTATTGGATACATGTTAATTTCTGTTATAACTCTAGTTTATGTCCGCCATTTTGCCTGATATTTAGTAATTAAAACTGAACTTGAGGGTGCTGGAATGTAAGTAAGGATACTATTAGCAGAGCTCTATATCGTAAAGGCTTTCATTTAAGATCACCAAGAAAAGTGCCTTTACTGAAAACCAAACATGTTAAAGACCGATTAATGTTTGTCGAAACTTATGAAAAGAAAGGTATGCAGTTTTGGGAAAAGGTAATCTGGTCGGATGAAACGAAAGTTGAACTATTCGGAAGGAACACAGCGACAAGTGTTTGGCGAAAAAATGGCAATGCCTTCAACAAGCACAATACCATTCCCACAGTTAAGTTTGGGGGTGCTTCCATTATGATATGGGGATGCTTTTCATCCAAGGGCACTGGTGAGTTACAAGTTATTCATGGTAGAATGAATGGTAGCATGTACAGGGAGATTCTAGAGAAGAACTTTCAGAAATCTGCAACTTCTTTAGGACATGGTCGGAATTTTGTGCTTCAACATGACAATGATCCCAAACATACCGCAAAACTTACAAAGGAATGGTTTGAAAATAATAATTAGTCTCCTGACTTGAATCCAATTGATAATTTGTGGTATACTTTGAAGGTTAACGTTCATAAGCGGAATCCACAAAATTTCAAGCAATTAGAGGAATTATGCAAGGAAGAATGGGGTAAAGTAACGGTGGATCAGTGTGGAAAACTTGTGGCCAACTATAGAAAGCGACTGGAAGCAGGGAAACAAAACAGAGGCTAAGCAACAAAATATGACATTGATGTATCCAATACTTTTGCCTAGGGTAATTTTGAACTTTGATAAAAAAAAAATGGATTCAACCATGAGTTTTTAATTTTCCTTCCACATACAACTAAAACAACTTTTACGAGATATTACTTACCAAATATCAGGCAAAAT